AAGAAGGGTAATTTTTCTTCCCATCCTGTGACCCAAATACATAAGCTCTGGTAACCAAACCTATACCTCTATGAGATACCCTCACAGACAGACTCACTCTTTGGTTGCACTCAGGTATTTCTGCTCTTTCTTTTGATAACTAGCCACATCTCATCTCATGGGAAATATCAGCTCCGTAGGTTATGGCAAGTAACCCATTAAATGGGTTATTCTGAAAACTTTGGAAAGAGGTGTGGTCACCAAGGAACTCAAAGTAAAGGAGTGTAAGTGTATGTATAAAGTTATTGATTACAAAAGCTATTTAAAATTGGCCTTTTTAGTCAATGCCATTGGCTGTTATCTATTGTATGCATAAACCCAGGTTGGCAGAGAATCAAGTATTTTTTATTGAGTGTTTCTGAACATCACATTCTCCTTGAATTCTCTTAGGCATTTGACACTGTTGATAGCTTTCTTAATCTTTCTCTTTTTTTCATTCCAAGTTTTTTTTTTTAAATAACTATTCTAAATCTCTCTTTTTGAAGCTCTCTTCTCCCTTGATGCAATACCAGTATCCCAAACTGTTTCCTCCCAATCCATCACTGTGGCCATCCCTCAATGATCAGTTCTCAGCCCTCTGCTCCTCACACTCGAAGTTTCATTCTTTGTCATGATCTTAACTATCACATCTAAGTAGCAGATTCACATATAGAGTTCTGTTTCCATGATCTGTGGCCATACCACTCTGAACGTGCCCAATCTCATCTAATCTCAGAAGCTAAGCAGGGTTGGGCCTGATTAGTACTTGAATGGGAGTTCTGGTTCCATGTCCAGCTATGCTAAAGTTGAAAACCACTGAAAGGATGTACCCACCCACAGGAAATTGTAAATGATGTTTCTTCATCCATTACTCCATTGACTTTTTGCAACAGTCTTGTAAAATGGGTATTCTTATCCCAACTTATCAATGAGGAAACTGAAGTTCAGGGAGATCAAGTAACTTGTCCAAGATCATGCAGCTAACGAGTATCAGATCAAGGATTCAAAGCCAAGTCCAGTTATCTGATGAAAATTGTTTGTCCTCTCTACTACTCCTTATCACATCCTTTACCAAAATACTGGCTTTCATCATATCAACGAACGAGAGCAGAGTCCTACATGAAGCATTTGACTTAACCAGCTGGGGATTTTTGGATGAAGCAATAGAGAACGTGAGCAAAGTGAAAGCTCAGAATGTGTCCCCTTCCCCTCCTCCCTACATTCAGGTTAGCCTTATAGGCAGGCCAAGTAGTGAGTAGCCCACAGAGTGGAATGTGAAAGGTGATGGCTAGGTCTACTTCCCTTCAAAATATCTTTCCAATGCCCTCCCACCCCCACTGTTCCTAAAGTTCCCTAGATCTTTAATTCCTCAGGGTTCCTGTGGCCTCTCAAAGTGGAAATATACCCGGAAGAAGAAACAATAAACTGAATCACTAACATATAATCATTCAGAAAATATTTATTAAGCACAAGTTATTAAGCAAATGGAATGATATCATAACAACCGCTTATATTTGCTTAGCGCTCTAGATTTGCAGAACTTCATCAGAATCTGAAGAAGTACTGGCCGGGCTCGGTGGCTCACGCCTATAATCCCAGCACTTTGGGAGGCTGAGGCAGGTGGATCACGAGGTCAAGAGATTGAGATCATCCTGGTCAACAAGGTGAAACCCCGTATCTACTAAAAATACAAAAATTAGCTGGGCATGGTGGTGTGCGCCTGTAGTCCCAGCTACTTGGGAGGCTGAGGCAGGAGAATTGCTTGAACCCAGGAGGCAGAGGTTGTGGTGAGCCAAGATCATGCTATTGCACTCCAGTATGGGTAACAACAGCGAAACTCCATCTCAAAAAAAGAAAAAAAAGAATCTGAAGAAGTACTTAAAGCTGAGATTATGATCTTGTTTTTACAGATGATGAAACTGTGGCTCAGAGAGTCTGAGTGACTCATCCAGGATGATACACCTGAGCCCCATTTTCTGAACCAGAGTTCAGACTTGGCTCTTCTGATTTTCTGTTCTATACTCTTTCCTTTCTATCACAGTAACTCAAGGGGTTTATAGGTGGGAACTCAAGACAAACATACATGAAGAGTTAAATAACAATCCAAGATAACAGTAGAAGTAATGTTAAAAGACAATAAAAGTGTCCAATGACTAATATAGACAATAATTACTCTAGGAGTGACCCGGAAGGTCACAGTGGGTAAGAGTCAGCAGAGAAGGCCTCAAACAGGAAGTAGGACGTAAGCCTGGCCTTGGAAACTGAATAGAGAAAGGGCAGCCCAAGAAGAAAGAGAGGGCAGTCCAGTGTCGGGGTCAGGAAAAATAAAGGCAGAGGTGAGAAAATGCAAGTCTTGTTTGGAGAGAGAATGAAGAGACCAATTTATCTAGACAAGAGAGACTTTTATTGGGGAATAATGGAAAATAAGATTCAAAAGCCCCTCTTGAATTTCTGACAAAAGGATTTTGACATGTCTTGTGGACAGTAGAGAACCATGAAAGAATTTTGAGTAAGAGAGTGAAACTCTAAAAGCAGTGTGTGGGCAGACCAATTTGTCAATACGCATGGTAGAGGATGCCTTTCGATGGGAAGAGACTAGAGATAAGGAAGACTGGTTAGGAGCCTATGACAGTCAGGGATAAGGTGACAAAAGCCAGTATTAGAATGGTAGTGCTGAGACTAAAAAGAAGGCCAATTGTAATTGGCAAGATGAAAAAAGAAATGTTAGAACCTGTGAAATAGGGAAAGACAAGAGTTGAACTTGCCTGAGAGTTTTCAAGCCTAGCTGACTTGAAGAAAGGCGATGCCATCAACAGAAATTAGCAAGACAGGTAGGGAAACTGGTTCAGGTAGTTTCGCTTTTGACATGCTGGGGTGGAAGTAACAATGGAAGGTTCAAGTGAAACTGTCTAGTAGGCAATTGAAGATAAGGAGGTGGAGGTTGGGAGAAGGGAAGGACTAGAATTTAGTTGGTCTGGTGTAATGGTATGTAATGGAACCCTGGGAGTCAGGAGACCTGGGACTTTGCCTCTTCTCTGCCACTAACTTACTAAGTCATGGGCCAGCCACCTCTCTGGGCCTGTTTCCTCCACTGTAAAGTGAGAGGGTGTGCAGGCCCTATATGATCTCTGAGGTACTCTCAAGGACTATGAGTCACCTGCATGTATGTTCTCTCCAAGACAAAATCAACAGTCTGATGAACAAAGGGCATTAAATAATCCCCAAATGCTATGACTCTGTGACCAGTCTCAGGAATGCTATTTACTTAAGGAGCAAAAGAGAAATCAGCAAAGGAGATAGACAGAAAGTAATCAGAGAGAGAAAAGCACGAAGAGAGAAATTCTAAAGTGATAGGATAAAATAAGGAACTAAAATGAAAAGTATCACAATAAATGAGATAAATATTTACATCAAATAATGACAAAGGTATCACATGAATATTAAATGAAGAATACATATATATGAATACTACTAGGATGCCAACTGAAGAAAGATTCAAAGAGTAAACATGGGAAAGAGTTTAGTCCCAGGAGTAATCAAAGAAATGCAAAAAATATTAAAATAATTTTTAATCATCTAAAGAGATTTCTTCTAAAGTTCAATGCTGGCGCTGCAAGGGAATTAGAACACTCATATGTCATTGTGCAGCTGAAAATTTTTGCAGTCCTTTTGGCAATCACAGTCCATAAAAATGCTCATGCTCTTTGGTCTGGTAATCCCGCTCCTGGGAACTTGTCCTAGAGACAGAATTACAAAGAAGAAAATAGCTATACACATTAAGATGTTCAAAGCACAGAAAAATTGAAATATATCTAAATATTCAATAATAAGAGAATAGTCAAATAAAATATAATCTACTGACAGGTATAATTTTGTGGGGCAATTGAAATAATAGATATGAAAAACTACAGCAACCCGGGAGAATATTTACAATAAAAGGTTTGTCGGCCAGGTGCAGTGGCTCATGCCTGTAATCCCAGTACTTTGGGAGACTGAGGTGGGCAGACCCTTGAGTTCAGAAGTCCAAGGCCAGCCTGGCCAACATGGTGCAACCCCATCTCTACTAAAAATACCAAAATTAGCTGGGTATGGTGGTGAGTGCCTGTAATCCCAGCTACTCCAGAGGCTGAGGCAGGAGAATGGTTTGAACCTGGGAGGTAAAGGTTGCAGTGAGCTGAGGATTGTGCCACTGTACTCCAGCCTGGGTGACAGAGCAAGACTCCACCACACACACACACACACACACACACACACACGAAGGTTTCTAAAAACGAATTGTAAAATACATGTATGCTCTGACTACACTCATATAAATATGTATATGTACCCAAACTGACGAAGCATGGAGCATGGCAACATGAAAACAATTTAAATAGAACAGTGCAACACTGTCAACCGAAATAGAGAGGTCAAAGAAGATGAAGGTAGAGACAAGATTGTTAAAGGTCTTGCTTAAGAGATAATTTGTGTTCTTCTGAGTCCAGCAAAGTGTAGGAAGGAAAGCAGATGCAGATAATTAGAGTGATTTTGTGGTGAGGAAACTGGGTTTACAGTATTCTTTTAGAGATTTGGCAGTGAAATGAATAAGGATGAGTAACATGGTAATTAGACTATGGTCTAAAGATAGCAGAAAGACGACGGAAGAAGACAGCAGGGTTGACCAGGTGTGGTGGCTCACACCTGTAATCCCAGCACTTTGGGAGGCCGAGGCGGGGGTGGGGGGGCATAGCACCTGAGGTCAGGAGTTCGAGACCAGCCTGGGCAATGTGGTGAAACCCTGTCTCTACTAAAAATACAAAAATTAGCCTGGCATGGTTGTGCACACCTGTAATCCCAGCTACTTGGGAGGCTGAGGCAGGAGAATCACTTGAACCCGGGAGGTAGAGGTTGCAGTGAGCCGAGATGGTGCTACTGCACTCCAGCCTGGGTGACAGAGTGACACTCCATCTCAAAAAAGAAAAGAAAGGACAAAAGATGGCAGGGTTAAGGTGTCAGTGGTAATTGGTAATGCTTTGTTTTTGTTGTTTGTTTGTGTTTAAGATGGGATAAAATAAAGTGATGGAAGAGACTTGAAATAAAGGAGAGAGGTAAAGGAATAAGAAAGGAGACCACCTCTTATTCTGGAACTGCAGGGAAGAAAGAGAGGAAGACAAGGCAAATACAAAGCAGTTATGAATGAAACAAAAGTTGAAGTATTAGAGCTTCCCAATTTTGCAAGAGGCAAGGTCATTTTTTTTTGAGACAGAGTCTCACTCTATCACGCAGGCTGGAGTGCAGTGGCACAATCTCGGCTCACTGCAACCTCCACCTCCCAGGTTCAACTGATTCTCCTCCCTCAGCCTCCTGAGTAGCTGGGATTACAGGTGCCCACCACCACATCTGGCTACTATTTATATTTTTAGTAGAGACAGGGTTTTACCACGTTGGCCAGGCTGGTCTCAAACTCCTGATCTTGTGATCCACCCATTTTGGTCTCCCAAAGTGCTGAGATGACAGGTGTGAGCCACTGCACCCAGCCAAGGTAACTCTTAAGAGGTCACAAGAGGAAGATGAATTTGGGGCCCTGTGGAATGGGAAATGTTTGCTAGGAACACGCCAGTCTAAGACGAATGAGAGCTTAGGTGAAGTTCCAGGATTTGAAGTGTTAGTGGGTCAAGCCAGCCTTGTCCTCTGGCTTCATCTGCAATCCCCTCCAGTCCTAGATGAAAGGAGATTGGCCTGAGGTGAAAGTCAAGGTGTTTAAAGCTTAAGTGCAAGGGAAGACAGCCCTAAAGTAATGCACAAGAAAGTTTGTCTCAATTAAGCATATGGGAGTTAAATAGACCGAGGAAATGGAGGAGGCTGAGTCAATTGGGATGGAGGCAGCAGATTTACTGGATGGGGACAGCAGGTAGGGGAGGTGATGGGCAAAGAGGCCATAGTCAAAGGAATAAAAGGAAGAGAGCACAGATGAGGAACAGTGTCTGTAACAGCTTAAGCAGTGGCTGTGAGACTGGGAGAACTATTAAGAAGAGGAGAAGAGGCTGGTTCATTTACTCCTAATGGCAGGAGTCCTGCGTAGCAAGAAGGTCCTGGATATCTAGGGAGAAGGTGGGAGCCCTTCAAAAAACAAAAAGGGAAATTTAGGGAAACTGAAGTCATTTTTTTTTTCCTGCAGTCCGACCCCAACCCTAGTCTCCAGAGAGAGACCTCTTAGAAGCCAATAGGAAGTTGGTATATCATTAGATAAATAAGAGATCAGAGACAGGTCAGCAAGGGTGGGAAAAAAAGAAAGGCACGGCTGGGGTCTGACTCAGGAGACCAACAGGCTGGAAGGTGATTTCAGAGGGCAAAGACCTGTAAATGTGAGCCCACCCTTCTCAAGAATGCCTGCCAAGAAATTCTGACTTCCCAAGACTTAGGGGTTAGTTTCTCAATTTCCAACATACCTCCTCCCCCTAGCGACTTGATCCTATAAGCCTGTAAGTGCTAAGATGGCACTGAGAGAGAGTAGGAATGAATGGGTAGGAAACTTTAAAAAGAACCTTAACAGTCTTAGTGCTCCACCCTGGCCTCAAAGTCCTGAAGCCTGATCTAAAAGAGCTGGTGACAGATTTATCATTCATTTGGGGCAGGAGCTAGAGAAAGGGAGAGATCCCTAAAACGCTAGCTCTGGGCATCAATTCCTGTTACCACCGTCCTCTGCACAAACCTGCTCTACCCCTCAATGCCAGAACTTACAGCCAGACATGAGAGCTCCACCCCCTCAGTCTTAGCCATCCACTTTTCCTTTGGTTAAATACAGGAGAGCTGTCATATACATGTTCTCAGCAAACATCATAAAGGAGGTCCAGTCCCATTCCTGTCCCAAAGGCTGTTATCAGCTAAGGTCCCCACCCCATGACAGGACTTTAATTCGTGCTGCATACCAGTTCAACAGTGTCAGGCCCCCAGCTGCATGCAGGCTCCCCAGGATCGCACCCTATTCCAGTGCCTCAGTAAGCAAGACTCTGCTGTCTTTGAGGGAGAACCAGGAAGTTGGTGTGGGTGCTACATATGGCACATCCTCGGCATCTGTGATATGGAAGTTGCCTCCACTTCCTGATTCTGGTTATCATCATCAGATAAGTCAGGCCAGTCCTGAGATGACTCTGCCTGATCCGATCCACCCCTTCAGCTGAATGCTCTGGTGTGGCTGGAGAAATACATGGTCTAGGCAGCTGTGGGGGAAATGGGATGGGGAAAGAGGACTGGGGAAGATTTTTCAAGAAGACATGTAGAACCAATGGCCCCAGGAAGGGATAGAAACAAAGAGAAAGGAGTAGAAGACTGGCATTAGCTAAAAAGGAGTGGGCAACTGAAGGGGTTATGAGAGATGAGGTTACACATGATGTCCTTGCCTCCCCGCAACCCGCAGGGTGAGGGCTTCTCTCCAGAGCCTGGAAAAGAGGAGGAAGCACCTTACCAGGTATCACTATTGGGTTCCCTCACCTCTGCCCTGCACTCACCCCCTTTTCTCTCCCTTCCTGGCTTCCCGCGTTACAATCTATCTACCCTAAGAGTAGAGCAGCTACTGTCCTGCGGGGGTGTCCGCCCACCTGCAGCTGCTATCCTCAGGCAGAGACACTAGTGCCAGGGAAGAGGCAGCCGTGCGGGACTGGGGCTTGCCACCACCGCAGAGCTGCCGGAGCTGACATCGATATTTGTCCCCCGTGAGTAAGTAGAGCACAGGATCCAGGCAGCTGTTGGCGCTGGCCAGTGGCCGAGTCACTTTATAGATCACGTTGACAATGTTCAGCACCCGGCAGTCAGCTTCCAACAGCCTTGCGAGGTAGTAAATAGTTCGGGTGATGTGGAAAGGCACAAAGCAGACAGCGAAGACAGTCAGCACCACAGCGATGGTGCGGAGAGAGCGGAGACGGGAAGACGACTGGGCAGCACCTGGCAAGGGCCGACACAGGCGCCGGGCCATGAGCCCATAGCAGACAAGAGTGACCAGGCAGGGCACACCAAAAAGCAGACCCATGACTGCCGAGCTGAAGTGTACATAGTGGTCAAACTCTTCAGGCCGAGTGGTGTCATGGCACAGGACAGTGGCCCCTTTGGTGCTGGTTGTGACGAAGAACAGGTTGGGCACGAGGCAGCCGGCTACAACCAACCAAACTGCCAGGCAGAGAAGGCCTGCGAGGCGAGGGCGGCCCCAGCGTAGTGCCCGCAGTGGATGGCAGATGCCCAGGTAGCGGTGCACACTGATGCAGGTGAGGAAAAGGACGCTGCAGTAGAGGTTCCAATAGAAAAGAAAGCGGACAAACTTGCAGATCCCGGTGCCAAAGGGCCAGTGGTTGCGGGCTGCATAATAATAGATGAGAGTGGGCAGCGACAGCACATACAAGGTGTCTGACAATGCCAGGTGGAACATGTAGGTGGCCGTTGCATCCCAGGGTCGGAGGCGGAAGATGAAGAGCCAGAGGGTTGGGGTGTTGAGGCCCAAGCCCACCACAAAGACAACTGCATAGCTCACAGGCAGCAGGATGAACTTGAAATCCTCATCAAACCAGCAGTCCAGCTCCACCTCACCGCTGCCAGGACCTGGGCTGAGGCCTAGGGATCTCAGCAGCGAGGACTCTGTACTGGCCATGGCCCCCCTGGAGGTGGAAAGGACAGAAGTGAGGGTGGCAGGATTTCTCTGCCCACCCCCATCCCTGAGCTGGGGCAAAAAAAAGCAGAGAGCAGGGAGAGCAGTGGTTGAAGCACTACAGAAAGCTGACAGGAGTGCATCTGGGTACACTCAGGCGAGCCTGGCCCCTACCCGAGCTCCTTTGGTCCCGCTCAGGGAGTGGTGGGCAGCCTCAGGCAGTGCTGCTCAGGGAGTGGTGGGCAGGGCTCAGGCAGGCAGTCCGTGGGTTTGGGTTGTTCTTACTCTGCAGCTCACTCTGTCCCTAAGAGACTGGCTGGCTAAAGAGGGTAGAGGCCTCCCAGCACTATCCAAAGTAGGAAGATACCCAGACGCAAAGTGTCTCCTGACTTGTCATCACAGCTGTGTCCCTGGAAGAGGAGTGTCTCTCCCCACAGTGCCTTTGCCTCTCCTCGTGTCCAGGCCACAGTGTCTCCAGATGACATTTACCTATGACACCTTCCCCACTGCCTGCCTACAGCCCAGGAGCACCATTGCCACCCTTGCCCAAGAACCTTGGCACGTCTCCTACCTGGTCCCCTTGAAGCTGAGCCCAGCTGACTCTGTCACCTTTCCCCTTGGCAGCCAGAGGGCATATCCAAGGGGGTGGAGTTAGAGGTAGGACCGGTCCCTCCTCCCATCTGGGAGACTGAAAGAGTTAGAAAGGCCCTTTACAATGATCTAGTCCAACCCACTCATTGTACAGATTGGGAAACTGGGGCCCAGCAAGATTACTATTTAACAGCTTTGAAATGACTGCAAGAGGGAGCAAATAGGGAAACATCCAAGTTTACCTGTCAAGAGCCAGGCCCCTGGAGACAGATTACAGGGGGATCATACAAGTTTGTGTAAGTGAGCAGAAACATGGGAAATGAATTTTCACATGGGCAAGGGCAAGACAACGCATTGAAAGATTTTAGAAAATCTAAACTACCTATATTTAGTATCTCAACCCTGTATGCATATAATTACAACAAATGCTTATATAGTACTTACTATGTGACAGGTATTTTTCTAAGTGCTTTATACTTATTAATGACCCCAGAGGCTCTCCATGAACTAGGTACTATTATTTTCTCTGCTTTGCTGATGAAAACATTAAGGCACAGAGAGTTTAGGTGTCTTGCTATTTAGTGGTAAAGTCAAGATCGGAACCCAGGCAGGGCTGCCTTTGGACCAAGCTCTAGCATCCATGACTTACTTGCTATGTTTAAATTGCCTCTCGAAGCCACTGACTATGATCCAGGAAAGAATCAACAGATATTTATGAGACACAGAGGCAGGCAGATCTCTTGAGCTCAGGAGTTCAAGACAAGCCTGGACAACATG